AATCTCACACTGTCGTACGTAGCACAGTATCAGAGTTGCAAAAAAATGACCTCAGCGCAACATAAAAAGCACTAAAATAGACATAATACGTATGCGTGTGGCGTGGGGGTCCTAGCACAGCCACTAGGTGAGCGACGTAGCCCTTTGGTGCCTTCACATCTCATAGGTTGCTGCACCAGGGGAGGCAACGAAGAAGGCTGGCGAAGGCAAGAATTTGAGGGGAAGTCATAGCACAGCATAGTCCAGAGCCCAGAGCCATAGTCCTGATAAGAGGTGCTTGTTTATCAGCCAGCTCAGCTGAGCTCTGACACTGTTCCACGTCCTTGGGGAGGGGAGGAGTGAGGAGGCGATCAGAGCAACTTGTTTCCATAACATCCAAGGAGAAATTGAGATAGTCAGCCTTCCAAGGCCAGAGCCAGATTTAGATTTCAACATTGTTTTGGGTCAGGCTTTTTTAAAATTTCTACATCTGCCTTTAACAGTCTCGCTAGTACATCTCATGGCGACTCCAAACAGCTGAATTGTGATTAATTAATTAATTAAGTCAGGCTTACAACTTGTCCAAGATCTATTCCTTCCAACCGTTCATGACCACTGCCACAAAGTTCCACAGTCCAGCCTGTTCAGCTCTGATACAGGTCCACAGATAGTTAGCATACAGTCTGAGTGTTGTCAAGCCCGGCACACACATTCCAGACAGCTTAAACAGCTGCTGACGTTTCCAAATTTGTCGACAATCCAGATTTCCACCAACTCCAAAAAGCAGAACCCAGTAATCATAAATCCAATTATGTTTCTGAGGTAAGAGGGCTCTCCTTCACCCTGTCTTTTTGAGAAAATTTGATCAATTGTGTTGAGAGACCAGCTGAACAAATCCATAGTTTACAATTCAAAAGGTATGCAGAAAGGGCTCTGAAAAAGGTTCACAAAAACAAAGAGCAAAGCAGGGATGGAGCGGAAGAGGACAGATTGCTTTCGCCAAGAGCAAGCAGGAAGAGATTTACACTTGGTTTTTGGCTTCGCAAAAAGATTTATAACTTGTGTCATTATGTGTTACAAATACAAATCTTTTTTACACACAAATTCTTATATACGCATGCACAAATCAAAAATTTATTTTACAAGGTTACAAAACTAACAAGTACAACATATTTATGACTAGAATTTGTGCCCATACTGCAGCACAGACCACTGATCTATCACAGCCCCACAAAACTCAAGCATGTATGAAACAAAAGAGGTGGCTAATAAAATAAGACGCTCTCCTTGCGATGCTCAAAGTTCACTATCGCAAGTATTGAACAAAGACCAGTCACAAAGCACATAAGCATTTCTCTCCACCTTCACGCCACTCAGATTTAATCTGTTTGAGCAGAAATAAGAAAGCTGAGCTTACTTTGAAAGAAAGAGGACATGGTAGATTCTGAGAAGGGCGAAGTTTGCTATATGTACTACATTTCCCTTAGCCTATTCCTTATCCCTGTTATATGTGCACTTTATTTGTCATACTGCCTCTTTGTACTAGTAAAATGTTGACATACAGTAACAATATTTAGTTGTTTTTAAAGTGACTGCCTGTGTGTGCATGGTAATATTTAGTTGATTATTTGGTTTATAATGTATGGTATGTTCCTATTCAATCAGACAACATGCAAAAGCAACTGATTCTGTACTATTTAAGGAAATCCTTCCTGTAAAATGAGGAAATGATCAGTTAAATAATTGGCTTGAAGCTGTAAGTGGTTCAGTTCATGTTTCTGTACAAAGTTTTGCATCATCATATTTAAATTTTGTAGATTTAGTTGAACTATGTATTTTTTCCTCATCCTACAGTTTTCTGGATGAAAACCACCTGTCATCAGCTCCATTCTAGCTAAATCAAACCTGATCTTTAGCAGTTAACTATTACTGGGTTCATGCTCAGGACAACCCTCCATTTCCTTTGTAGAGAGTGTGTTCCTGTCACGCTTTTGGCATGTTGGAAAATTATAGTTATTTCACTGCTCGGGCACCAGAGAAGCCTCACAGCCTCTTGTTAACAGTAAATTTGGGCCTCCTTTTGTACAGAAAACAAAACATGATATCCCACCAGCAGTCTGCTGTGATAATGACCCTCAAATGGTGCACAATTTTAGCTTTTTAACCCAGCATGTAAAGGAATTTGGCTATCGCTTAGGTCCAAGTCATCTGTTAAGTTGTGCAGTGCATTTTTTAAAATTTCTATTTGAAGTCATTAAAACTAAACCTGGTTTGAAATTTACCCAAACCGAACTCAAGGACAAAGGGAAATTTTAGCTCATTAACTGCAAAATTGACTGATAAATTGCATTTTTTTGTGTTTTCTTTAGCTGTGGCAGATATCTTGAATGGGTTTGCCTCCAAAAGGTAATCAGTTGCAGATGTATATTTTATTATTGCAGTTAGCCATAATAAAAAAAAACATGAGCAGTCATATCACAGTTTCACCATTCAGTGTCAAACCAATGATGTAACCAATATATTGATCATCTGATTGTATAGATTTGATATTTATGTTATGTGTGGATCCAAATTCTGTAGTTTATTGTTGTCTGTCTAATATTGTAAACGAGTCCTCGTGACTCAGTGAGACTAACCTGTGTAAATAAAAGTTGAATGAATGAATGTGTCTGATGAGATTAAGAATGGTTCTTGCCAATAACAGCGCAACAGGCAGAAAGCGGTGCAGATTGTTGCCCTATTGATTTTCTGTTGGGGGGGAGGGTGTACTGTCAAAGATTATTTCAAGTGCAGAACAAACAAGTGAAGAGGTGGGGGGGGGGTTGATGTATTTTATAGGCCTATTACTATTAGCTGGTTCACAGGACAACAGTAACTTGTGTTAAGATAATAATTTGATTCAGTATCAGAGTTTTAGAAAATGTGAAACTTAGGAAACTTGCTGGAGACATTTTGCGTGTGGATTAAAATGTCTAGCTACACAAGTCTTTTTGTGAAGCTGTAAGGTATGAATGATGATGGAAATTCAAACAGGAGGTGTATAATTATGCAGAGAAAAAAAAGGGTGGAGTTTGCATGTTCTCTTCGTGCATGCGTGGGTTTTCTCCGGGTGCTCCGGTTTCCTCCCACAGACTAAAAACATGCATGTTAGGCTGATTGGCAATTCTAAATTGTCCCTAGGTGTGAGTGAGAGAATGAATGGTTGTTTGTCTCGTTTGTCTCTATGTGTCCCTGTGATGGACTTGCGACCTGTCCAGGGTGTACCCCGCCCCTCGCACAGTGATTGCTGGTCATGGGCACCGGCGACCCCCGTGACCCAAAATGGAAGAAGCGGGTAAAAGATAATGAATGGATGGATGGAAAAAAAAAGTTTAATTCTCATTCAGCTGAGCCTTCATTTTGACCATATTCAAAGCTAAATTGTTTGGAAAAAGCACAGCCAGTTAATAAATTAATAAATTAAACTAATCATGCTACTTGCATGAAAATGTTTGTATTTTTCTTGTGTAAAATCCTGCCATTGGACATCTTTTTAGCTGCTCGCCATCTTTCAATTGTTGTCTTTTTGTGTTTACATCAAATAGCTGACCATGGGCATCAGAAGCATCTGTAATGTTGGGGGGGGGGGGGGGGGGGGGGGGCACTAGTGTGCGTGTTTGTGTGCGCACGTGCACCAGTGTGCAAAAAAGCAACATTTCATCTAGATTTCATTTAATTCCATTTAAAGCATGTTTCTCACCAAGTTTGTGTAAATTCAGCTGTTTTAAAGACATTTGAACTTCAATACACTTAAATTCAGAGCGTCAGGTCAGCACTATTTGTTAGCACTAACTTTTGGACATTTATGATGCATAACCATGACAACAATGTTTTTTTTTTGTTTGTTTTGTTTTGTTTTAAAACCATTGGGAGTGGCTGATTAACATCTCTAAGCTCAAATAAAATCTCAACTACAGCCCCAAATCTCAAATTAGTTGAAAAGGAGGTGCTGTGGATGCATTCCCATCTACTTGCAGCTGCGCTTGAGTCCCTGACCACTGAGATTCTGGAACTAGCAGGAAACGTGGCTCTTGACAGCAGAAGGACTGGGCTCGTCCCCCGACACCTGCAGCCAGTTGTCCGCAGCGACAAGGAGCTCGGCAGGCTTCTGGGAGGAGTGGCTATCGCTCTGGGAGGAGTTCAGCCCGGCATTCGGGCGGTCCTGCAGCCCGGATGAACTGAGAGGCCGGCCAAGTCTGGGTGGATGGATCGGACGGCATCTGCGGCCAGTTTCTTCAGATCCACTGTGGGACGGACCTTTACAAGAGACCCTTCATGCCTATAGCCATCAGCATCTATAACGTCTTAATGAAACGAGGATAACGAGTTACAACAACATTTAATTTCCCTTTGGGATTAATAAAGTATTTTTGAATTGAATTGTTGAGTAATAACTATGAATAAAAGAAAAACGCCCCAGTTCAAATGTAAAACACCACCTTTACACAGCCTTATTGCTACCACAGAGGCCCACGGTATGTTCAAAATGTGTGTAAAGCCAACTAGTGAGTGTCTGCTCTCATCGTGTATCTGATGAATGGCCCTGCATGTTGTGCTCATCCTTCCACAAGCCTAGTGAGAGAGAGGAGAAGAGAGCAGCAGAAAACACAAAGATAGCTGTTAGTCTTTGAGGCTGCATTCGAAAGAACGCTGCACATGTGGCATTAACTGGCACCAACACCCACTCTCTCCAATAAGCTTGTTTTTCTTGCTGTCACATTATCTCTGTCTTCTTTTTGGACTGCCACCAGCAGCGAGCACACAGCTTCCTTCTACTCGTCAGGTGATTTCTGAACAGCTCGGTTGTTTCCCACCTGAACTACTGTTCATCATTTTTTCTTTCCATCTCAGGAGTTCTTAGAAATGTTGTTTTTTGGGCTCCTTTCCTGAGAGTGTTGTTTCAAAATGCTGCTCTAAGTCTAATCCTCACCTTTCCCTGTTTCTCTCCCTGTTTTCCCCCTCACTCTTGTCCATCCTTTCAGGATTTGGATAATATTCTGTCTCCTGAGCCGCAGACACAATTTCATCTAGGCAGGTGAGTCTCTTAAACTCTCTCTCTCTCTCTCTTGGTTTTCTCTTTACTCTGTTTTTTCTCTCTCTTCACTTAAGTCCTTGGGTGCTTCTGCAAAGATGCTGCGTCACTGTGCCCATTTTATACAGACGCAGCTGTTGTCTCGACGTAGGACCAGAAGCAGACTCCTTCATCAGACAGTCCTTGTCACTTTACTGGAATGTGTGTGTATGCACTTGAACACATCCATTTAAATAGAATTAAAGAATATAGGCTAATGTACAGTTTGATCTACAGCTGGTTGAGAGTTTTATTAGTTCTGTCAGCAACAATAACACTTGAAAGCACTTCTGAATCGTCTTCATGCCTGCCACAGGATGACTATGTTTTTAAATTGAGTGATTTTATGCTGAGAGCTTGTGTCTGAAAACTACAAGCTTTCATGGTGGTGTCTGTGTGTGGACATGTCTAGACGCCAGGCGGTGTCTCAGTCTGACGCTCTTCCACATGGCACAGGTGCAAAAAAAATAAAAAAATGGCACATTCCATCCCCAAACATCAACTGGAGTTGGTCTACAAGTAATTTCTATTAAGTCTGGCCACAAGTTTGCCAATTGGAAGTGACAAATCAAAAATAGACTTGATGCAAATGCTTTGCCTGTAAAACCAGAGGTCATCAGTCTTCTGACATTTTACATTGTATGCATAAAGCCCTACAGTTTGGTTTGTACAGTTTACTGACCATGACAAGGATTTATTTGAAGCTGATACAAATAAACATCAAGTAGTGTATTGAATATATCATTTCACTAATCTGCATGAAGCCTGCTGTGCTGTCTGGGATATGAAAGTTTAAAAATATATACTGATTACATTTAGCTAACTGTTTTGTGCTGTACATTAGAACCGAGGTAAAGCTTAATCCTAAATGACCTCTTTCTTGTTAGGCTGCAATTTTCATCTGAGTTGCTTTTATGAGTGGAAGTGTATTTTCTTGTCTTGTCCCCATTGCATATCAGTGAGCATTTCTCTTTAAAGCACTTCTGTATTTTCTTATCTGTCACAGGATAACTATGTACAAATTTAAACACAGCGTGTCTTTGCTTTTGAGTTGAGTTCTTCTGGGAAAAAAAAAAAATCTAAACTGTATTAAAAAGTTGGCAGGAGGAGGGTTTATTTATTTTTATTGTATTGATTAATTCCAGACATGTCAAAAGCATTGCACACAGCACAGGGTGTATCAACACCAATATGAATCTGTGCATCCATACATACATACACACACACACACACACACACGCGCACACACACACACACACATATATATATATATATATATATATATATATATATATATATATATATACTGTACTTACACATATACACACACATACATGCATGCACATTTGAACACACAGAGCCCCCTGCAAACCAAACCCACATCTGCAAATCCATCTGCTTTGACTGAACACGCACACACACAGAAAAAAGTTTATACCCAATGTGCACACACCTATCCACGCCCACATACCCATATACATGCACACACACAAATTCCTTTTAACATGTCTGAAAACAACAAAAACAGGGTTTGCCTTTTTAGGATGACTAAGCCTCAAGTTACAGTCCAAACAAATGTAAAGAAGTTACTAAAACGTACATATTTAAACTAAAGCTATGCACAGATACTTCTGTGACTGGTTTTATTTTATGAATTGGTGCCTTATAGTGAGTGTCTTCAGTCAGAGGCTACTTCAGATCTGCTATAAGACAGACCACTACAAGAGATCCTCCCTGCCCACAGCCATCAGCATCTAGAACAACTCTTTAATGAAACCAGGATGATGAGTTACAACAACATTTAATTTCCCTCTGGGATTAATAAAGTATTTTTGAATTTGAATAACTACAACTTCAACTCAATATTATAGAAAATTATGATCAATATGAGTGTATGTTTGCACACTTAGGCTACACAGTATGAAAAAAGGCTTTTATTTTATAAACCATTCATCTCTTCCATCAAATACACAGCAAAGCAAAGCCGTGCGATGTCAGCTTTTACCAACATGCATAAAAGCACAACGCTGAGGATATGTTGTGAAAACTTGTAAGGTTTCCCTCTGACTTTCTTCCCTGCTGTCGTCGTGAAGGATAATGTTAGTGGCATTTCCCAGCAGGTCTTTTTGACCTTCTCCGTTCTGTTTAACCTCCTCTCTGCTCCCCACCGTTCATCACACAAGCTGGTTGCTGAACCAGAAAGGAAAGGGATTCTGAACTGGGCACGCTGCAGTTTTATATTGATTTTTATCTTAATTGTTATTAAGATGTAGAGGACAGGGAGGCAGGAACAATGTGACTTGTGACTACAACAATATGACAAAGGGAGAAAAAGAACCTCTTAAGATGATTTACTGCTTGGTGAAAAGCGGGTCAGGTAGACTGCAGGGATCTGGAGGTCATGTCTGATAACAGATAAAGACAGACATCGAGAAAAAAAAAATGAAGTAAACAAAAAGAAAAGGCAAACCCAACTGACAGAACAAATCACAAGAAAATGTTGTTTAGTTAATCAAATGAAAGCTCTTGGGAAAATGAACCGCAAAACTAGAACAAATGAATGCCGTAGCATCTCTGAAGGAATGCATTTCTCTTGCTGCCTTTTATGCCAGAGATTTAAATTAAAACAATTCTATGAGAAGGCATGGAGTTATGGCTGTTATGGTCAAACCTTGTAAATTGTGTGAAGCATAAATTATTGTGATATTGCAATATCTTGCAAGATGTGATAAAGCTAGGGAGTATATGTTTAAGAATCATTTTCAGCTATGACCACACCAGTTTTAGCTCAATATCTGTAAAATTTATAGCCATTTTTGTCCCGTTGCAGAGCAAATGGAGGGAATTTAAAATATCCTCTGTCCATCTGTCTGTCTGTGGATGTGAGCAAAATAGCTTGAAAAAATAAGTGAAATACTGACTTTCATTTTGTGTGTGGCAACACCTACATGTAACAAAGGTTCCTTTTGAAAATGAGGTGTCCACATCAAAATCCAAAATGGCTGCCACCATAAATGTCTATCTGTGTTGTGAGCATGATGTTAGAAAATAAGTGGGGCACTGACTTCCATTTTGGCGTGTTAGCATAAGAAAGGTTCCTTTCGAAAATTGGGTTGGCACATCAAAATCCAAGATGGCCACCACCATATACACACACGTGTGTGTGTTTGTGTGTGTGAACAGGCCACACCTGATATTGCTAAAACCATAGTTAGATGATTTGGATAGCCCTCGGGGTGTCCAAAGATTAATCTATAGCCAAAGCCACCATTGGCCAGCCCCTGGTCCCACCATTAGCTCTGGTCATGGATAAAACTGCTCCCTTCATTCACCATCTGTCACTCTGTGCTACATCTGACGATGATATTAATAATCATAATCTCTACCTATGTTCTTCTACATGGTGTAACTCCTGCTCACTTTAATATCTTGCACCAAAAATATTAAGGCTTACTTGCATTCCCAGTTCAATGTCTGTCTAGAAAAACACCCATGTCTAAAACTACAAAGATTCATTATTACAATCCCTCAGTGACGGGGGACATTGACGTATCACTTGCTGTATTTGCTAATTTTGCTTTGCTGTGGTGGCTGTCTTGAACCTATGTGACCCCAAAAGCTAATAAGTTATACATATACAATGATGACAATAAAAGAGTTTCAAAAATATACAGTATGTCCACTAGGTGTTCTGCAAGCACAACAAACACCCACATACATGCACAAAAAATACAGACACGGTCATAAACATTACTCATTAAAAAGTAGAAAACTGATTAATTGACTTCAAGCTAACAACTCTCACCATCCTCCACAAATACTCTGTGATGCTCTGAAATCATATTAGTTGTTTTAGATCTGTTTTATGATTCAGATTAATCATGATGCTTAGTTTAAAATTTGCATTTAAATTTCTGAATACCAATTTTTTTATAATTAAGTAAGAGCAATATACTGTAGATAAACAAAACTCACTGGTGTCTGTGAACTTACAAATAGGTTTCTACATTGTTGGCCACTGCAAGAGTGATGTAATGTCCCAGACGCTTCACACTTCTCACGGTTGGTTCATTTATTTTATCTTTTTTATTTTTTTTATTTTTCTGCAAATCTGTCTTCTGCATCTTTTTATCCCCCTATTCATCGTTTATCTTTAATCCCATTTGATGCTCAAACTGCCTTTTTTGTTTTACTATCTTTTACTCTAAAGGAAAGCATGCATGTCAACAATAATTGACATACAACTTTAAGAACACTTTAAAACCATTTTTTTAAACACCAGTGTCAACTTCTAAGCATTTTATTTTGTCAGGTTTTTTGATGCTGCTAAATGTATGCTGTTAATTCTCCAAAATCCAGGGAGCAAAATGTCATCAAGGAGCATCCATTTACTGACAGACTGAGAGGAGCTGAGCTTTTGGTTGAACACGATGACATTTGTTGTGTCAAATCATCGTTTTTTAAGCATAAGTTTCATTCAAGAACGTGACATTTTACTCTTCTAAGCCATACCGCTCAGATGAAGAAGGCTGGTTTTAGTAAATCAGCCCCTTACCTCATGAGTATTTGACTGAGAAGAATTGAATTTGGTCAATAGTTGCAAAAGCTGTTCCGCTGGCATCATTGACACATATTTATTGTAAGATTCAGACTATATAGACTTGCGGTGTTGAATTTGCTCAATATTTGTGATTAGTGATGTCATTTTTTTCCACTTGAAACTAAAACTTGAATCTAAACTTTTCTCTCAAACCTTCTTAAACCAAGCCACAGTTTGGTAAATTTGAGTTGTAACTTTTTAGAAACGGAATGTCTGCAGACACTGTAATACTTTTCTAGCAGCTCTCCACACCCAGTGTGTCTGTGTAAATGTAGGTTAATGAGGAGAGATGATAAATGTGAGGCCATGGAGAAGAATAATTGCTTAGCTTAAGCTCTGGCTACATTTGATGAGATAGCACAGA